CCTCCTGTGTGCTGGGATGATCGGCATGCGCTGCCACACCCAGCAATCATCTGCGTGTTCTTTCTTGTTCTTGATGTTGAACAAGAAAGATCTGGAGGACTCAGAACAAGCTGCTGGGCTGCAGTCGCCTGGGGCAGCAACACCCCAGACCAAGATGGTCCCATGCAGCTGTGTGCCTGGCGGGGCATCATGAAGGGGCCCAAGTCCCTGCGAGGCTTCCGAGGGATGGAGCTGCAGCTCCAGAGAGAGTGGTGAGACACATGAGCCTCCTGGGCCCAGGCAGGAGCCACAGAGCAGCAGCAGAGCCAGAGGTCGGGACCTGCCTCGGCTGTCACGGCCATGTGGAGCCCGAGGGCAGGGGCTGTGCCAGAGAGCCAGGCTGGAGTGCTCAGGCCCTGCAGGCCCAAGGCTGGACACTGCCCTGAAGACGCTGCCACTGGGCCTCACTCTCATGCCCATTCAGGCACGGGTCTGCCCAGCGCAGCTGGAGGTGTGAGCAGGGATGCCAACGTTGGATGCTACTGCCAGAGAAAGCATGATCCAGATAGGGTGAGGTGACGGGGCTCCTCAGGGGCGCCACAGGGAAAGTGGCGCTGGAATGCTGAGCAGTGAAACGCAGGTCCTCCAGACTTGCCCACAGGTTTCCAAGCTTTCTCTTTTTTTGAGGCAGGGTCTCATTATGTAGCCCAGGCTGGCCTTGAACTCACAGTGATGCTCCTGCCTCAGCCTCCCCATGCTTCCATTGCATGTTTTTAAGTCAGTGCTAGCAAGGGCTTGCTGGGTGGTGACTGATTCCTGAGCCCTGGGCCACAGGTGAAATTACAGTGCTACACACACACACACACACACACACACACACACACGCACACTCACAGCCTGATGGCAGCAGGGATTCTGGAATTCTCCACCAAGATCCTTTGCGCCCTGTCTACTTTTGGTAGTTCCTGCTTGGCTCAACTCCTGAGAGCAGGGTGTGGCCGCACCCTGCTCTCCAGCTGGGAGCAAAGTCCGGTGGCAGCAACTCAGGGACTGTGTATCCTGATTCTTAGCTGCACCCAGAACAACTTCAGTGAATGTCCCAGATGACTCTGATAAAATACAAAGCCCATCTGGCCAGCGTCTCCCACCCTTGGGCTGCTGTGGGTTGAAGTCCCCAATTCCTGCTCTCCTACACACACGAGGTCACAGCCCACTTCCCTGAGTATCAGTTTCCTTCTTTGCAAAATGGCTTTGTTCTTCTAGTTATCTGTTCCTACAAGGCAGGCCACAGCTGTACTTTAGAGAGAAATAACACCGTCCCCTGTTACTTCTGCAACTACGAGCAAAAACTGTGCTTCAGCAACAATGCTCAGTTTCCTAACCTGAAAAATGGGGATGATTAGATCCAGGTAACAGGCTCCAGGCGAAGACAAAGGATAATGATCTATTTAGAACGCTCAGCAAGCACCTGGCGCTAGGGAGACTCCATCCGGGTCAGCTCTTTCTGTGAGCACGCACAGCGCCCGGGGTAATGTTAGATCATCCCTGGCCTCATGCTTTGGCCCTGGCGACCACCGGGTTAGCCTCAGGTGCCATATCTGGTCATCATTCCCTGCAGTGGCGCGCGGCGTCCAGTGGCCTCCTATCTCCTGGCCCTGCAGCCCAGCCGCTCCCGCCTCCAGCTGCCGCTCACCAACCAGCCACACAGAACGGTCCACACAGGGCCCGGGAGCTCGCACGCCAGCAGCTTCATTGATTTATTAGTAATCCTGTTACTCTGAAAGAGATGTTTAGAAACAAGTTTTAAACTTTGGCAAGATGGAAAACCTCACCCTGGGTCCTCTGTCTCACTAGGGGTCACCAACCCCGTGGAAGGAGAGTCCCTGTGACCTCTCTGAAGAACGGGCTGCCCGAGGCCTGCGCTTGCTCTGTTTTGCAGAAGTCCTATGTCTGGCTCAAGTTATTGCTATTCTGTTTATTCTAAAATCATAAGGACCCCAGTTGAAGGTCTGGTATTGTTGTATTTTGTGTGCATGTTTAAATAAAAACCTAGGGCTGGGGAGATAGCTAGGCGGTCTAAGTGCCTGCCTGGCAAGGACCTGGGTTTGATCCCTGGTACTGCATGCTAGGCTGGACTCAAAACCCAGCATGGTGGTGCACACCTGTAGTCCCAGAACTGGGGAGACTGAGGCAGGAGGATTACTAGGAGTCCAACTTGTGTAGAAAGACCCTGTACCAAATAAACAAGCAAAAACAAACAAACAAACAAAACCCTAAACTAAACTAAAAACAACCCTACATCATTCTTTTCCCTTAGAAGTTTCAGCATCTCCTTCAGAAATATTCACATCTGCCTGGGCCTCTGGATTAGCTGCGCGTCTGGGGCCCTGCCTGAAACGCATGCCCACCTACCGCAGCTGAAGCCTCAGCGTGCCACACTGCCACTCCCCTGCCTGAAGTCCCTTCATGGCTCCCACCCCTGACGGGACCAGGCCCGAGCCCTCCAGCACAGTCCAAGGCCCTTTGTTTTCTTGCCGCGGGCCGCACGTGTCACCTCTACACAGTGGGGCTGTGGATTCCTCCGGCACGCTGTGTGGTTCTGGTCTTCGCATCTTTGGCAATGCTTTTTCCTGCCCCAAAGTGGGTGTTTGCCCGACTACTTGTCCTTGGTGACCCTCCTCAGCTGCTGCGTCCTCTAGGGAACTTCTGTGACCTTCTGAGAGGTTAGGTAAGGGGCCCTCACCCCCAGCCAGGTGCAGACTGCCTCTCCAGGGCTCCCCACATTACTTCACTAATTCAAAAGATATTTCTTGGGTACTTACTGTGTGACAGGGCCTGAGGAGGTACTGATAAAGCACAGAACAATCAAGCTGAATCATGGAGCTTAAAGTAAAGAAGTGGGCAGACAGATTCTGTGACTGAAGGATGGAGCAGCCTGCACCATGCCGGGGCTGGGGCTGCATGGCAAGGCAGCTCCTGCAGAAGGGGGCAAGAGCAGCAGAACCGCGCCGTGGGCAGGGAGCTCAGCAGCATGGGCACGCAGCCTCCATGGTAAGGTGACTCCGTGGGAGGCAGTGAACCAGGGGCCGGACCTGACTTTTAGAAAGAGGAGTCGGAGGTCAGCATAGATAGCACATGGACAGGAAGGGGACAGCGAGAGATGCTCATATCCTCATGCACATGAGCCATCGTGACACCCTGAGCTATGTGGACAAGCAGGGAGCTGCCTGACTTGAAGAGCCGCCGGTACCACCAAGCCTGAGAGTGGGCACAGGCCTGGGTGCACTGGTGGGGGAAGTGTGGCGGGGCGGCTTCCAGCTCTGCGCAGGATCCACCTGAGCTGACAACGCCCTGGGGGCTGGGCCTTTGGGTGAAAGCAGAAAGTGTGGATGAGCGGTCTCAGGAAGAACCTCAGAGGTAAACAAAACAAAGCATAAGATTAGAATGCCGAGAACCAAGACCTTGAGAAATTCCAAAACATCAGGGTGGTGATGAAGGAGAAGCCCAAGAGAAGGAGTTTCAGAACAACAGTGGAGAGACGCATGCTGGCCGGCGGCAGCAACCTCAGAAAGCTATGCAAAGCATCAGTGACTTCCCACGAATATTACTTTGTTTTCTGCTCTTTCGTTTACCACGTGAACTAACACATGACCCATCGACTGTCGTGCATACGGGTAGACTAATAAAGCTTAGACGTGTAGGATGATCACCAGCACAACTACCAGGTTGGAAGGCAAACGTGCGGGTTTGTGCTCCTACCATAGCTTGAGAATCGTTTCGTGCTCGAGCGGAAGATGTGCAGGTGGGTGGTTGCTCCTGTGCTCATCCCAGTCTGCTGTAAGGAGCAAGCTCTGTGGTATGGAAGGCCGTGTGCATGCACAGGGGCAGCGTGAGAGTGCCGCACCGGGAAGATGTTAGCCTGAGCAGCAGATGTCATAGTGGTCCAAAGGGTGAATGGTCCCAGTGGGGCACGAAGGGCCAGGGATGGCTGTGGGAGAAGACGAGTTTTTGTATGCTAAGATAAGGGAATTAAAGCAGGTTTCAGTGGAATGGAAGAACATGAAGTCTAGGTTCTTACAGGTGTGCTGCAGCTCTGTGGGACTCTAGGGACAGCAGATGCAGCCCACAGGAGGGCGTGTGACTGCCTCACACTGCGTACACGCAAAGCAAGCAACACGTGCATGCATAGGCAAGCACATATGTTCACACATACACACGCACATGCAAGTGCGCAGGCACAAATATGCACAGGCACACACAAAAGCTCGAAAACGCACACACACACAAGCAACTACATACGTGCACACATGTATGCAAGCTCACACGCACACAACGCGCGCACATGCACGTGCACACATACGCACGTGCACACACACGCACACCACCTACCAACAGCCCCTAGAACTTCTAATGGGTAAAGTCTGGAAGACTGGGCTGGATGTCAGGAGCCAGCAGAGCGTCAGCTCCGTCCTCAGGGTGGGAGGACAGTGTGTGTGGTGGAGCTCGGTTCGGTTTGTGATCTTTTACTTTGAGACAATCATTCATTTACAGAGAGACAAGGACCCGAGGGGCAGGGCTCGGTCTGGTTCTCAGCCCCTGGGTGACCTGCACTTTATTCGCTTCCCTAAGCTTCAGTCTTCGTCGTGCAGAATTCAGTCAGACTCGCCCCGCCCACGGCGACCCTAGGATTAAAGCACAGGCCCGGCGCCTGGGCGCGGGTGGAGAACGGGGCAAGCTACTGCCGCCGTGGGCCCGCACCCGCGCAAATCTATGCGGCGACACTGCCAACTGGAACGTGAAGGACTTCTGCTCTCCGGAGCTTGGGCCAGGGTACCTGGAGCCCGCGCCCGGACCAGGGAGCGCGGAACCACAGCCCTGGTGGCCGGGGCGGGGCAGGTCTGGGCCTAGCGTCCGGCGCCTCCCTGCGTCGGGGGCCGGGCTAAGGCGGAGCGCCCCGTATCTCCGCCCCCTCCGTCCCCGCCCCCTCCCGCTCCATAAATTGCCAAGCGCGGGGCCGGGAAGCGCGCGCGGCAGCGCAGCGTGGCGGTCCTCTTGATTCCGACTGCGCACGCTCGCTTGCTTTCTTTCTTGCGGGCGAGTGTCCGGCTGTCCAGTCCCAGCTGGGATCGGGGAGCCCCCTACCAATACGTCTTCAGGCGCCGGGGATCCCGGCTCTTCCTCCTGCGCCGGCATCCGGAGGTTCCACACCCCGCCTCCGCCCGATCCGAAGACCCCAGCCTCGGCTTCCTGCGCGGGCCCCGCGCGCGGCGCAGTTCCCGGGGCCCTGGCGCACCATGACCCGCGCGGCGCGGCCCCTCCTCGGGCTGCTGTGCCTGGCCGCGTGCGCGCTGCTGGGCGCGGGGGCCGAGGCCGACTTCTCCATCCTGGACGAGGCGCGCGTGCTGGCCAGCCAGATGCGGAGGCTGGCGGCAGAGGAGCTGGGGGTCGTCACCATGCAGGTAGGGACCGAGCGCTCCGGCCCGTGATCCCGCCTTTGTCCCGTCCCGCGCGCTCGGCTCCGCCCGTGTCCCCACCGCGCCTACGTCCCCGGCCTGGCGCTTCCTCGGCGCCGTCCGGGTCGCCACTCTTTGTTGCTGTCTGCTCTGCGCGCGCCGGCCTCGGGCTGGCTGCCGTGTGTGTGCGCCTTTTGGGGAGGAACCCGGCCCAGGGAGGAGGGTCCAGCGTCCCCGGCTGCGTCTCCGTGGGCCGGGGGCCGGGGGCTTGGAAACACCGGCTGCGGCCAGGTAGGACCTGGAGCCAAGCGCCACGCGCGGCCGTGGACATCACTGAGCCGCGGCCACCTGGAAGGCCACTCGTCAGTTTCGTCCCCGCGACCGAAAAGGCCTGCTCGGTTCGGAAAGGCGGAGGTGACGATCGTAGTAAAATGTCACCCTTCTCCTGTGTGCGTGCACGGTCCAGCTACACTCGCGGGGAGGAATGTGGTCTTCGAAAGAGCGAAGTTTCCAGGAATATGCTGTTTGCATCGGTTTCTGATTTCACCCCGTGACCAGCTCGCCTCCCACGGGGAGGGCTCGTTTCAGCACTTTGGGACTTGGGTTTCTGACGTCTTTTTTTTCCTTTCCTTTCTTTTCTTTCTTTTTTAACCCTGCCTCCACCCCAGTGCCCTTCCCAAACGGTGCAGTTTTCCTAAAGCAACTTCTAGGACCTTCTTCCCTGTATGAATAATGCTAGTTTTTTTTTTAACGTATTTTATTCATTTTTAAGGGAGGGGGAAGAGGCGCCGAGGGCTGCTTGCAAGGTAACTTTACGTTATTTGCAGACCCCAGGCCCTGAAGCGCAATCGAGCCGGATTTTCTTCATTTGCATAATAATAGACGAGGTTTTTGGAGATCCTTGCTTTACCCTTCGGTGCGATCGCTGGGGTTCAGATGCAGTTGTAATTTTTTCCATATGCGTCTTCTGGTTCCTCACTCTTGAGCAGTGACTTTAAAGGCGATGGGAATGAGGGTTTTCTTTTCAATTCAGAACACAAACAGCATCGTGTCTCGGCACAGAGCACTTGATAAAAGTGGTAGAGTGCATTGCAGTTTGGGGCTTTGCTCTGGGGATTAGGCGGCATTTGTCACCCTCACCCCATCTCTAGGGCTAGTGGGGGGCGCTGGGGGCCTCCAGGTTCCTCCTGGCTGCTGAGGGCTTGCTTTTGCTAAGTCGCTGCCCGCCCTCTCACTGTTTCTCACCCTGTCCTTGACAAAAGGTGAAATCGGATCCCAACACATTGTCATTCAGGTAGGGATCCAAAGCAAATGTAGTTTTAAAAGGCTTCTCTGTTGAAAAGGAGACACTTCAGAAGCAAGGCTGTCAGTGGGGGGCTGCGCCCAAACGGCCCTTTATCTCCTCCCTGCTGGCCTCTGCCCGCACCTTTGCGACCTCATTGTGCTGTCCAACCTCCCGCGGGCAGGGCTTTGTCTGGCAAAATGGCAAGTGGCTTCTCTCCTGCTTTGAAAGGAGACACACATACTGTATTTCAGTTCCTCCTCGAGCCAAACAGTGATCTGCCACTTGCCTGGACCTGGGAAAATGGGGGAGGGCCTCTTTGTAACTGAGACCGCCAGTTTATTTATTGTTTTTTTGGGGGGGGTACTTGTAAAAAGTAAAATCTAATGCAGGTGAGACTTCTGGCTTTTAAGGAAGATTGTGAGAGCCACACATTGCTCGGCAGCCCTTGGGATTGGAGCAGCAGATCTGAAGCTAGTTCAGTGGCCCACCATGCAGGGCATGCAGCGGTCCTTGGGGACTGTGGGGTCTCACAGCTGGAGAGCTCAGTGGGCGGTTGGGGGTGGCTCTGTGTGGAGGTGGGTGAGCGCAGACTTTCACACAAAGCTGGGGGCGTGGAGGCTGCGTCTCTAGGCAGCAAAAGAATGCTTTCCCTGGATTAAGGGACTGACCCCTTTCATCTGACCTTGGTGTTGGTTGGTACAGCATGGGCCTTCTGCAGCCTCTTGTTTTAGGCAAAACTTTCTGCGGCCCAGTTTATTAGTGAAAAATGAAAGCCAGCAAGCAAGCCCGCCAAGACGTTCAGAGTGCTGCTGCTGGGGACCACGTCCAGACACAGTTTCTCATTACGAGCCCCTGCAAAGTCAGAGTAGCCCCCAGCAAGGCCTGCTGTCTGAGGTCAGATGGTAGCAGGCAGCGCTCACAGGGGGCGGCGAGAGGTGATTTTACAAAAGCAAGAGACCAAGCCTTCTTTCCTGGCCAGCCTCCTAAGACACTTTTTTTTGTGCCGGCTGATAAAGAAGACTGAAAAGTGGTCTCCTCCGCAAATTGTTTCAGAAGTTTACAAATGGAGGCCGCCTACTTGTGTTTCAGTGTTGTACATTTTTAATAATGGACAGAATTTTTTTAAACCTTTAAGTGATTTGCACCAGCCCATTAGGCCAGTGCCCAGGGCAAGCGATCCCCGAATACCTGGCAGTAGGTGGTTTGCATCACTGGGAAAAGCCAAAAACCTCCTCATTCTCTCCCTGGGGTCGGTGTTGTGCTCTGGAGAGAGAAAGGGCTGTGACGGAGACCGTCCTTCTTTGGTCATTCATGCGCCAGGTGCTTTGTGGGCGGCCTCACGGGGTGGGAAGAGCCCTAGAGACCAGGGTTGAGTGTGGCTACCTGCGAGTGGGGTGATTTCTTTGTAAGACTAGGGGCACTGCTGATTCCTGGAAACTTGCTTTGAGGATGTAAGAGGCAGTGTGCTGTGAAGGCCCTTGATGTGGATGGGGGTCACCGCTCCCCCTGGGGGTAGGTGCTGGAAATGTGGGGATCTCTGTGCTGCGCGCTCTGGGGCCTGGGAGGAGGTCGGTGGCCTGCGCGCTGCGCGGCAGGGGCTCTGCTCAGGCTGTGAGAGGCCTGTCTGCTCTGGGCACTGACGAGGCCCATTTCACAGTGCGGGACAACATGCTGTGGTCTCATCAGCGAAGCCTGGCACTGGGCCAGGGGGACTGCCTCGGCATGAGCCCTCCTGGCCTGGCACGGATGGCGCTGTGGGCTTGGCAGATGCACCAGCAGGTTGGTGAAACAGCTGCCGGGTGATGGGCCAGGAGGAGAGGGCCAGGAGGAGCTGCTTTCTATTTCTAGTCCAGTCAGAAACAGAAATGCCACTGGCACAGCCAGAGCAAGTCCCGTGGAGAGAACGCAGCAGCAGGACAGCCACTCAGGGCAGAGGTGGGTGCCGGGAGAGAGCCAGGCCCAGTGCAGAGACGTGCCTGAGATGGAGGGGAGGCCTCGGCCATTAGCAGTAAGGCCACACTCGTGCTCGCGATTGTCTCTGCACACATCCGGCCCCGGGGCCTTGGGTTAGGTCATGATGGCTGGGAGAGGTGACCGAGGCCTGCCATGCCTGTGTAGGGATGGCTGGTGGGAGGCACAGGCCCTGGACGGCAGGGGCACAGCAGCAGGAGACAGAGGACTGCAGGAGCCTCACCCTCGCCGTGCTGGTGCTCAGGGAGGTCCCCCTTTTGCCCCCAGCCCAAGATGGGGGGACCGGCTGGCCCAGCCTCAGGCAGGGTGGGAGCCAGTTGCTAGGCATCACATGCTTGTGATTGCTCCAGGTGGTGGCCCAGGGTGGTGTGGCTGAGGGCCCTCGAGCCCCTCCACCAATGCAGCCCTGGCTGTGCCCCTCTCGGCCCCTGACGTGGCACGCTGGCCGTTTGGGGGCCCGTGTGTCCTAGTAGTTCTGGTACAGCTACAGGCGGTGTTGTTAGATGAGACCTATGCTTTGCCCCGCTGTGAGCCACCATCCCAGGTCGGACCTGGCTGGGAGGCAAGGATGGGGACCCGTGCAGTACTTGAGGTGAAGCCACCTGTTTGCAAATGATGTGGCACCTGCCGCACGTAGTAAAAACAGTGGGACGACCGCCGTCACTGCTTCCGATGCTGAGTATTTGGAGTGGAAGAACACTGACTATGGATGGACGGCTCAGGGCGGAAGGGAGTTGGAGCGGACTGGCTCAAAGGGGCATCCTGTGGGCTCACGACACCTGCGGCCTCCTTGCCATCCCACAGTGGCAGTAGGGTTGGGGAAGGGGAGCCGGCAGCTTGCCACTGTTTAACCTGCCCCTGCTCTGTCTGGTTGCTGCATGGGGATCCAGTTCCTTGAACTTGTGGGGATGAGCAGGCCGGAGCCTTGCAGAACCTGTGAGCTTGGCCTGGCGTGGAATGAGCTTTACTTTGCATCTTCTTGCACAGCGTCAGAACTCAAATCCAAGATGGGAGGTATGCTTTTGGCGCAGCAGTTACTCGCGGTGCAGCTTCCAGTTGGCGCTCAGCACCCTGGGCTCCGGCGCTCACGCTTCCTGTGGATTAGCAGGGGAGCTATATTTTAGAAAAACAACCTAAGAGCAGCTGGTGAGCAGAAGTAAAAATATGGGACCAACGTGTTAAGGGGGTACAGAGCTCCCGAGCCAGAGAGTCAAGAAACCTTTTTTTTCTTCCTTTTGTGTAGGGGAAAGAAGTGATGGGGATTGGGTTGAAACCCAGGCCTTCATCCTGAGCTGCACATCCCCAGACTGCTTTTATTTTGAGGTAGGGCTTCTCAAAGGGGCTGAGTTGCCCAAGCTGATTTGAACTTGCAGTCCTCCCAGAGTGCTGGGATCATAGTTGTGCCCCAGAGAGTGGCCCTCTGCTGTGCTGGCTCTAGCGTGACACGTGCAGACCTCCGGCAGGGGATGCAGGTCATGTTTTGGGGAATTTGGGAGAAAAATACTGGAACCATTATTTGTAATTATTTACTTTTAAAATTCTCACTGCAAAGGCTTTCAGAAATATGCACAAGTAAAAAAGTAGCCTAAGAACGTGTATCCAAGGCTGGGGGCACAGCTCAGCGGCACAGCGCTGCCTGCAAGTGTGCGGTCCTGAGTTCGACGCCAGGTACATGCACCTGGCCCGGCTGCTGCAGGCCGCTGTGTCTCCACCTCTCCCTCCCCTGTGCCTCCTCCCTCTCTCTCTGTTG